TCGCCGCCGCCCAAGGTCGTCCGCCGCGCCCGGGCAGCCGCCGCTAGGGGTCGTGTCAGCCGCGTCCGTGGAGCCGCGCCTTTCGGCCGCGCATGCGCGAAGCCGCCCCGGTGTGCTAGGCCGGGCCGCCGGGGCCGCGCCCCTATTCCGCTCCGCCCCCTCCCCCAACAGGCCCCCTCGTGCAGCTGCTCCGCCCCCTCCAGCCCCCGCACGCGTCCCGCCCCAGGACCCGACAGCAACCTCTCCAGGGCTGACTTACCACTTGCAGTCCTGAAATGTCCATTCTGTATTTCAGCTCGAGTTAGGGATGGAAGAAAGGTGAGCCTGCCAGCTTTCCTCGTTCACCTTGAATTGGTGAGCCTTCTAAGGAACTCGCACAATGCTGAGAGCTGTGCCTTTTGGGAGTCATCTACACTGGCAGGCCTCCCTAGCTCCTTCCAGGCCAAGAGTTGACCCTTCCCCGGTTTGCTAGTTCATTTTCTGGGTCGATGACTGTAGAGACTCACAGGAGCTGACAGTGCTTAGTAGTCAGAGCATTCAGTGCATGGATCAGTGAGACACAGGAAGGATGGTCAGGGTATGTGTCCTGCATGTGCGGGAGTTGATGCGTGGACACACCACCCTGGTGATAAGGACTGTGACCACTCCGACTCACAGTCACGCTGTCGCCTAGACTGAAGTGCAGTAGCATGCTTAGGGCCACCGCAGCCTCGACATGCAGGGCTCAGGTGATCCTTCCTCCTCAGCCTTCCAAGTAGCTGAACTACAGGCAAGCATCACCACATCCGGCTAATTTTTTTATTTATTGTAGTGATGAGGTCTCTCCATGTTGCCCAGGCTGGTCTCAAACCCGTGGATTCAGGCAATTCTCTCACCTCAGCCTCCCAAAGTGCTGAATTACAGGCTTGAGTCACTGTGCTCGGCCTTGGGATTTTTCTTGATAGAGTCAGTGTTCAAGATGTGAAGTGACAGATCTAACCCCAGCCTGTACGATTGGGATATTTGCCAATGGCCTTGACCTTCTAGGTGTCATCCTGGAGCTATAGGACAGACAAGTGACCGCAAACATTGCCTTTTCCCTGGCAGAAATATTCTCAAGTTTGTGGGGACTGTGGGCACCTTCTGTGGGAGGAAACTTGTTGGGCCAGGAGTCAGGGTGGGCTCTGCCAGCACCCCCTGTGCAACCTTAGGTAAATCACAGACCTTATCTGGGCTTGGCTTTCCTTATCAGAGCAGACAGAAGGGAGGCTAGGGCTCCCTTGAACATCTGTCTTCATATCTGAAGCTTTGAGATCCTTGGGCACAGTGAACAAAGCAGGTTTATAGACAAGACTAAGTGCAGGGAATGGGCGATGGGGTCGACTGTCCTTAGCTGCTGTCTTGGCTCTGGGATCGCCTTAGCCGCTACCATTCTAGAGGCTGCAGAGGATAGAGGCTCAACAGCGTATTGTGAGGCCTGCCTGGCTCGGGTTGCTGGCCAGATCTTCCTGTTTATGTTTAGACAGTGTAAGAGGAGCAGAAACTTTTACTGCTGCTGACCCATATTCATGTTTAATGTCATTTGTAGTGATTGACTCCTTAGTAGCTCTCTTTTGGAAGCAAGTGTAGACTCACAGGGTCCAGAGAATGTCTGGGGGCTTTGCTTGAGCTGATGTCTGCCAGGTGCCTGTTCTGAACTCCTATGACACGTGTCTGTCTTGCTCACTGCCTTTTTTTACATTGTCCATCCTAGTAGAGGTAGAGTTTCCTGAGGGTGAAGGCCACATCCTGGCCTGGGAAGCTTTCCCCTTCCCCCCCAGAGCCCAGCATGCAGTTGGGCTTAGTGGGCATCTCTGGCATGAAGCTGGGACAGGTGCTGTGTTCATGGGCTGTGTTGGCCCCTTGCTATGGCTGGGCATCCAGGGGCCACACTCTCCTCTGTAGGGATCCCTAGTGCAACGAGCCTCTCTTCTCAGGAAGGAGACTAGAACCAAGATCAGAGTACACAGCATCATGTGCTGCCATCTGGGTCAGCATGTCAAGTGCACTTGACACTGTGTGGTGGGAACACGGGTAATGGTTGTTTTCTTGATGCTTTTTCACATTTTTCAGATGCCTCTCAAAAAATTGAGGAGAGTTGTCACGGCCCCATGCTGAGTTCACAAGTGTTTTTTGAGTATTTTCTGTATGTCGGAGCTGGGCTGAGCCTCCGTTAATCAGCTGAAGCAAGTGCTGGTGTGCTCATCTGCTAGGCAAGGAAACCAAGACTCTGGGAGAGCAAGCAGCTTGCCCCAAGTCAGAGAGCCCATAATGTAGAGCCAAGGGTTCGAATCCAGGCCTGTCCACTCAGAAGCCTGCATATGTCCACTTAATAGTTCACCCAGCAGGTTAACAGTCGGGTGTAGACGTGATTCTTAGAGCAAAGATTTAAAGTAATATAACAAGACATAGGGTTACCATGCAATCCACCAATTCCATTCCTAAACTGGCACATGAATGGTCACAGCCGCATTCCCCATAATATCCTCAAAATAGAAATAACCCAGATATCCACCTGCTGGTGAATGGGTAAATAAAGTGTAGTCTGTTCATATACTGAAATGTTATTTGATAGTCAAAAGGAATGAAATTTTGGAACTAGTTGGACATGATGGTTGTATAATATTGTGAATGTGCTAAGTGCCCCTGGATTGTTAATTTTAATGATTAATTTTGTGTCATGTGAATTTCACCCCACTTTTAATAAAAAAAAAAAAAGAAGTTCTGATATTTGTTATGATAGCTGGGAGCCTTGAAAACATTATGCCAAGTGAAAGAGGCTAGACTATGAAGGGTTGTGTGCTGTGTGATGCCCGTTAGTAAATATCCATGTCCCCAGAGACAGAAGAGGGTGCGTGGTTGCCGGGCCCGGAGGAGGGTGGTATGCGGAGTAACTCCTGTGGGCCTGGGTGTTTTTAGAGAGGCATGAAAATGTTCTGGAATTATCTACATTTTAAATGGGTAGAGTAATATCTCAATTAAGCTGTTATTTAAATATATATATAAATAATCCAACAAATGAGAATTTTTCCCCCATGTGGAGGCTTTCTGGCCTACTATTACCTAAGGATGATTGTGATGTCATTAGTTGCATTTCTTGAGTGTTAAACTATGTACCGAGTACAGCTCTAAGCACTTAGCATTATTACATGTGAAATCAGCCGTGGCTTAGAGGCCAGGGAGTCTGGCTTTAGACCCCACATTCTTGGCCACAGCATTCTGCTGCTTTACGTATAGACAGATATTCCAAATGTTAGAGGGCATGAGACATCAAGGCCGAGAAAAGGGACTACAGGGCTGGACGGGTGGGTTGGAGCCCTGGTGCTGCCACCTGCTACTCACTACAATCTTGGCGAGTTCCGAAGCAGCCCAGTGTCTGTTCCCTTGTCTCTCATGGGGCTCATGGTCACTTCTCCCTCAGGGGGTCTGTCAATAAATTACATCAAACCCTGACACTGTGTCTGGCATGTGGCCGCACCCAGTGTGTGGCATTATTAGTGTTGCTGAGTGGTTACTAACAGACTACAGAGTGCACATGCACGCTGCGTACTTGTGGAGTGAGCATTTCAGGCTGAGTTAGCCCTCATTTGCTACTTGATTTATAGAGCCAGAAGGGACGTGGGAAGGTCATGTGCTCTAGCAGGTGAATGTCCAGCCCAAGGTCTCCTCCTCCTTTGGGGGTATGTGTATGTATGTGTACACCTGTGTGCAGCACTCCTGAGAAGGGTGTGCTGTCTCCAGAAGGAAAACAGCAATTCACAAAAGCTCACAGAAGGAACCAGCTGTGGCTTCCAGGCAAGAGGCTGCCACCAGTCACAGAAGCTCTCGACTGACAGCGTCCTGGCAGGGAACACAGGCCAGTTCCTCCTCCCTTCCCCCGGAGTTTGGTGACATCCACTGGCATCCCCTCCTCTTGACACCTGCATAGGACCTTGTCCTCCTGCTAAACTGAGTTCATCTGACACCTGTGAGAGCTGGGCCATTCTAGAGGCTGAACTGGAGGCCAGCCCAGCAGGGGGCCTTGCCTGAGCTTTGCTTTGTGTTTTTCGAATCTCTTTCCGCCATGGAACTTGACACCCTTGGAAATCGTCTTACTGCCTTTGAAGGCCGCACTGCAGGGCTAGACAATCAGAGATGTGGTATTGTAATAACGTGTTTCTAGGACTTTCCATTAGAACCTCCCCTGTGGTCCCATCACAGTCATGCTGCAGGTTCACCTGTCTTGGCCTGGCTTCCTGAGATGTAGTTGAGGCCAGTGTGCAGTGGAGCCTAGGCTTGTCATGCAGCTTTCATGTCATTATCTCTTACAGTCCATCACCATGTTGCATGACTTTATAAGAAGTTCGTTTCCTGCCTGTTTGAGTGCAGTTTTAAACATAAGAACATTCATCTTAGATGTTCGTCTCCTGGATTTGTGCAGATCACGGGGTCTTGGGAGTTCAGCCCTTGGTGACAGACGAGGAGCAGGAAGCCCCAGCAGGCAAGACGAGGTGCCTGAGCGCTCTGGACTTTGATCTCTTGCCTTTGGAATTTGAAGTTCACTTTTATTGTCCCTGCTGTTGTCAGCAGCCCGGTGAGCTGGATCTTGTGAGCAGCTGTGCAGTCGATAGGCCAGGGGTCAGTTATCCTGGCCGTGTGATTCACTGACTGCAGAGCCCTGGGTTCTGTCTTATCTGTGAGGTGCTGTAAACACCTTCCTTGCGGGGTAGTCCTGTGGATAGAAACCGTGCTGTCAAGTGCTGGGTGCTGCATAGGCTTTGATTGATACACTTTTATCATTATTGAAGTTGTTCCATCTTATACACCCAGACAGGGCTCCTAGTGGAGCAATCTCACGTCTAGCCAACCCTGAAGGAATATGGGATGTGACCCTCAGTAAGCACTGGTTTTCTGACCATAATATGTGTGGCCCTCCACTTTCCCAGCCAAACTTCTGAGGATCTGCCAGCCTGGGGAGGGGTGGAGGTCCTGGCAGAGGTGTTGATACCCTGCTGTGGTGGGAGGCAGGGTGCAAGTTCCTCGTCATGCTGTGTTCTGTAGGTCATGCCCAAGTAGGACAGTTCACAAGCAGGCATGCTGAGCTTTCTAGCACCCTCCCACTGTGGTGCCCCGCTGGTCTGCTGGCCTCATGTATGCCTTTGCTTTTGACATTCCACCCGGCCCATACCCAGCAGTGCTTGGTGTCTGCCAAACCCTAGGCGTAGTGCTGGAGTAGGGTAGAGCATTGATTGGTAACCTTCATTATTGCTGAAATTGTCTGAAGGACATTCCCTGGGTCAGGATGCAAAGATCCCAGCTCATGGGTTCCCTGGGCACCTTGTCTTTTGGCTCCGCTGGCCTTGGACGAGTCACTCGATTTCTCTGAGACTGATTCTTCTTCCACAAGATTGGGAGGAGAATAGTGCCCATTGGGTAGGACCAGACAGGCTGGTGCTCATGAAAGAACTTTGAAAACATATGTAATCCAAATTACTTTATCATTGTTAATATACTTACAGTGATTGCCCTCACAGAAAGGACCTTCCAGAAGGGAATCTGTCTATGGGATCTCCCTCCTGTGGCTTGCAGGGCTACTCAGCATTCTTCAGGCTACACAGCTGGCCAACCACCTGATCACCAACACTTCAGAGCTGGCCACGATTGATCATAAAGTGCTGAGTTTCTACTCTTTTTGTACACAGGCTTGAATTTGGAGATGCAGATCTTGCTGGGGTGTTGATTAGGCATTGCTGCCTTAGCAGTTATTTATCACGTCTGTTTCTCACTTATTTTTGTCATACGTTTCTCTGGAAAAAAAAAAAAGAATAACTAAAAACACAGTTGATGATAGCTTTCCAAAGTGACAAGGCATCATCTGACATTTTAATGTGGGCCAAACTGGTTCATGACCAGGGGACTGTACTTCCCAGTGTTTATGTGACTCTAGATACTTGAAAATTTATAAATCAGTCCAGAGGGCCTGCAAACAGCTTTTGACAGAGAACTAAAATTGCTGGAACTGAGCTGCATAGGCACAAATTCACTGTTAAGAACCAAGACTCTGCCATTGCTCTGAGATGTGTCCAGTGGCACACGGAATGAATGCCATAGCATTTGGGAGAAGGAAAAGGAACAATACTTAGTTAATTTAATGCTGTAAAGGCCCTTCTGCCCAGGAATGGACTCATTGCTGGGAGCCCATTTGCTAGCTCAGATCTTGGGTGTCCACATACCTGCCTAATCAGAATATGAGCCAACAAAGAATACCAGTGTCCCTTCCCAGTGGGGGAATAAGTTGTAACTGGTTTAAATGTTTTTGCCAACCATGCATGACTATAGATTGTACCTCTAGATGACTGGTTTCCAAGTATTTTAGAACCCAGTAGAATACAGATGATAGGTAAATTGTGTTGAACTGGAGTTGACCTTTCTTTGATTCACTGGGCTTAGCAGGTCTCTGAGGGCCTTGGTCATTTTCATGAGCATGAGTAGCCAGAGTTCAGCCTGCAGTGGTTCAACATGCCAAAGAGTAGACCCAGTTTTTCTTTTGGCATACTCTAGGGAGTTTGGTTTTTTAAAAATACTAAATCCCTAATATCAACTTGCACAATGTTTGATTGCTTTTCACACAAGCAGAGGGCAAACCAAACAATCTCTATCTCTTTTCTTTGTTTTTTGGTGGTTTTAATTTTGTGCAAGTGAGGACTTAAAGCATATTTGGGAAGCTCTAGTCAACTGCTTGCTTTTGAGTAACTCTGGAGTTGTTTTGCCAAATGGTGGGTTTATTTAGATAATCTCATGTTCTCCACCAAAGAAAATGTCAATAGGTTATAACATATTTCACACTAGAGAGAGGCTATTTTTTTTTCAGTTACATAAACAAATTTTGCTTTAAACGGAAAGAGAATATTGAATACCTAGGGCTGGAGGGACATTAAAACAGTCATAATTATATTCCTTGTATTAAAAAAAAGCTCAGCAGATACCTGGATGATAAAAATTGACTCAATCAGTTTTCTAGAGATGAAGACTGCAGCGTTTGAGATGAAAAATACATCGGATGTGATTAATGGCAGATTAGATGTTGCAGAAGAAAAGATTAGTGAACTTGAAGACATAGAAATAGAAATTATCCAAAATGAAAAATAAAGAAAATTTTAAAGTAGCTATATGACAACTTCACATGACCTAATATGTGTGTAATTGGAGTCCCCCAAGGAGGGAGAAGGGTAGCATAAACATTTTTTTAAAAATAGTGACTGATGTTTTTCAGATTTTATGAAAACAATAAACCTCGCATTCCAGGAAGCTCAACAAGCCCAAGGACCTCATAATCCAAATTGCTCACAACTGGTGGTAAAGATAAAATCCTAAAAACAGCCAGAAGAAAAGTCATATTATATACAAATGAACAAACATCAGTGTGACAGCAGATTCATTGTTAGAAATCGTGAGGAGGACACAGTGAGCAATACCTTCAGTCTTGGAGGGGGACAGGGACAACTGTCAGTCTTAGTTTCATGCTCAGTGAATTATCTCTGAAAAGGCCAAATAAAGCATTTCTCAGGTATTTAGTAGCTAAAAGAAGTCGGTAGGCGCAGAACTGCACTGCAAGAAAGGTTGATACCAGAAGGAAATATGAATTCACATGAAGGTTAAAGAGCACTGAAGATCATAATGGAGCAAATATATGAGTTTTCCTTATGATTTAAATGTCTTTAAAAGATACTTGATTATTTAAACAAAAGTAATAACCACATAGGGCAGGTCTTATAACCTGTCTAAAAGTAAGATGTACATAGTAAGAGAATAAGGGCTGAAAGGAGATACTTGGATATGTGTGACTGCAAAGGTCTTATGCTCTATGTGAGGTGGTATAATGTTGTAGATGGTAGCAAGTTAAACAGGGAGTTTTAGCTAATAAGCCAGCAAATAAATACTCAGTAAAATAGAAGACAGAAAAAGAGGAACAAGGAAAAACAGAACAGTTGGAACAAATAAAAAACAAATAAAGTGGTAGATTTAAACCTAACTATATAAATAGTAACATTAAATGTAAGTGATTTAAACACCCTAATTAAAAGGTAGAGATTATCAGAGTGGAAAATAGGAAAGACTCAATTGTATGTTGCTTACAAAGTAGGTATCAGAGCAAAGAGGTCGGCCCATCAAAAGGATGTCACAGTTTTAAAAGTTTATGATCCTAATAACAAAGCTTTAAAGTACATGAAACAAAAACTGACAGAACTTTAAGGAGAAATAGGGAAACTCACAGTCATGCTTGGAGACTTTGATACCCACATAGGTGATAGAGCAAATAGGCTGATGACCCAGAAGGAGATAGAAGCCTTAGGACAACACAGTATACCAACTTGACCTAACTGGCATTTGTATGACATTCAACCCCAAAACAGCAGAATACACATTCTTTTCAAGTGTAACATTTACCAGGATTGATTATATTGTGGGCCAGAAACAAGTTTCCACAGAATTAAAAGAGTTCAAATATGTTCTCTGAACTGTGTTAGAGGTACCAAGACAACCATCAGGTCACAGATGCAATAGAAAGACTCCTGTAACTCAGAAAAGCTATTGTACTCATGGCTACAGTTCATTACAGCAAACAGATATAGGTTAAAATCAGGAGAGGCAAGAGGCAAATATGGCTAAGTTCAAGGGAGACCAGGCTCACGCGTCCAGCACTGTGGACAGTGCTTAATTCTCCTAGCACGGGATGTGACAACACTTAGGAGCACTGCCACTCAAGGAAGATCACCTTGGTGTCCAGGGACTTTATTGGCTGTCAGTCACATAGGCATGGAGTTTCCAGCCCCTCTGGAGATCAGACCGATGGAGCATGGCCCCAGCCCTCCACCAGAATCACACTGTTAGCATGAACCGTCTGGTGTGGACTGAGGTCCCAGATAAACAAAGACATCCCCATCAGGTCAGCTGTTCCAAGGGCTTAGAGTTTATCTCCCAGTGACTGGCAAGGGCTTGTCACTTCTGTGGAATATGCAGCGCTTAGACATGCCAAACTCTTGAGTCAGCCTTTTATGGCAGATACCATGATGGAATTAATTTAGAGATCAGTAAGGTCTTTGGAAAATTCCCAAATATTTGGAAACTAACCCACCTCTAAAGAAGAAATCAAAAGTTAAGTTAGAAAGTATTGAATTAAAGTGCAAACACAACAGATCAAAATATGTAGGATATGGTGAACACAGTATGTAGGGAGAAATTTATAACCCTAAATGCCTGTATTAGAACAAGAAGAGGTCTCAAATCAACACCTCAATTTCTACCTCAAGAAACTCGGAAAGTGCAAACTAAGCCCAGTGTATTCAGAAGAAAGGAAATAATAAAGATCAGAGTGGAAATAAATGAAGTAGAGAAACAGTAGAAAAAAAATCAGTGAAATCAGTGAAATCAAAAGATCTTTAATGAAAATTTCAATAAAATTGATAAACTGCTAACCAGACTGATCAGGAAAAAAATTTTAAAAAGACAGAAATTGCCAACATCAGCAATAAGAGACGTGCCACCTACCAGAGAGTCTGCAGATACTAAGTGTTGTGGAATTTTATGAACAACTCTGTGCCAATCCATTTGACAACTCAGAATAAATGGACAGTCTACCCGAAAGGTACAAACTCCCAAAGCTTATGCAAGAAGGAGATTATCTGAATAACACTGTCTCAAAGAAACAATTTGTAGTTAGAAAGCTTCCTGCAAAGAAAACTCCAGGTGCAGATGGCTTCACTGGTGAAGTCTATCAAATATTTAAGGACAAAATTAAGGAGGAAGTGCTATAGAAACTCTCCCAGAAAATAGAAGGAGAGGGAGTATTTCTCAATTCATTTATGAGGTTAGTACTTACCTGATATCAAAACCAGGTATAAAGCCATTTCAAGGAAACTATATATATATTCCCCATGAACATAGACAAAAAGTTCTAAGCCAAAATTTAACAAATCAAACCTAAACATGTAAAAAAGGAGAATTCATCATGGGGTTTATGCCAAGAAAGGAAGGTTGGTTTAACATTTGAAAACCAGGCAAAAAGAAAAATGAAAAAGCAGTGTGGTTATTTCAATGGACACGGACAAAGGACTTGAGAAAATTCAACATTTGTGCTTGATACAAGCTCCCAGCAAAATTGGTATAGAGGGGACCCTCCCCATCCTGATTAAAGGGCATCCGTGAAACGTACCATTCACGTCAAACTTAATAATGTAGTGATGAAAGACTGAGTGCTTTTTCCTGAGATCAGGACTAAGAGAGGGATATCTGCTCTTGCCCCTGCTCTTTTTTTTTTTTTTTTTTTAAGAGATAGGGTCTCGCAGTATTTTGCCCAGGCTGAGGAGCAGGGGCATGATCACAGCTCCCTGCAGCCTCTAACTCCTGGGCTAAGCCATCCTCCCGCATCACTGGGATGATAGGCATGAGCCACCAGGCCTGGCTGCGGCTCCCACCACTTCTGCTCATCGTTCTGGGGACTCCTGACTGCAACAAATGAAAACTAGAAACATGAGGCATCCAGGTTAGGAAGGAGGAAGTCAGCTGTTTTTATTTGCAAATAACATCATCCTCTGTGACCCTTTTCTGGTCTTCCACAGCAATATGTAAAAGTTAAGCCCCATAACAAACAACTGACCCCACCTGTGTGCATGTGGTTTGTCTCAGGATTGTGTCTGGAGAAGCTGCCGATCTCATCTTCCACTAGTAACCTCCATGTGGACCGGGAGCAGGACGTCATCACCTGCTACGAGAAGGCGGGGGACATCGCGCTCCTGTACCTGCAGGAGATAGAAAGGGTGAGTGTGGCCGGGGGTGGGTTCCAGAGGATGGTAGACACTTGTTGCTGGCCCAGAGAGGCTTACAGCTTGTCTGCCGGGCCACAGACTTTCCTCTGAGTCCTTAACACTAACAACAGCACGGTGGTAACTGGTGCCTCATGGCAAATGGACGGCTCCATGTTTGTGAAACATTTTATTTAGTGTCCTTTAGCAAAAGTGACAGTGTACATCTGTCTACACCGTCAACACCTGGAACCAGCTGATCATTGCTGTTCTAACAAGTGGGTTGAGCTTCACTTGGACTTGTGGGACTATAGGTACACAGCTGTTCACTCAGGTGTGTGAGGCTTCCCTTAATGCGTGTGGCACATGCCAGCTGCGGACTTGGAGTGACCCGAGAGAGCTGTCCCCCAAGGCCATCTGGGGCCTCCTCCCTGTAGTCAGTAGTTTGGGGGTGGGAGGCTCTGAGCTCACACCCTCAGGCAGAGGAGACCAAGCTGACTGGGCCGGGGACATGCGGCAGCTTGTCTGTTCAGGCAGACTCTTGTCCTGTGGTTCTGCCTTTTACTAAGTTTCTTCACCTCTCAGCCTTGATCTTCCTGTCTGTAAAAAGAGCCTGGTAATAGTTCCTGCTTCAGAGAGTGTTTGTGAGGATTATATAAGACCATGTGATCAAAGGCACTTCACCCAGATTCAGGAACATACAGGGTTCCTGGTACGCGTCACTTGTTTTTATTAGTAATGATCGCTCTGAGCTGTTGCTGCAGTTTGCAGAATTTACTGGAGTTCTAACCAAGGCTGAGCCGTGATGCTGACTCCTCCAGACCCATAGACAAACCCCACAAGATTGTTTGAGATGATTAGAAACCCTGCGAGACCTTGAGAATGGTTAGCAGTCTTGTTTCCATCAGTTTTCTGGGCTCTTTGTTTTTATAAGGATTAGAATAGAAGGACTTCCGTGGTCTTGCTAGCTTTTGTGATCTTACAAGTGTACAGACTGGAGGTAATTTTTTTCATACATCATTTTGTAGTATGTTGGCACATCTGATGAGGATCAGGGCAGCCTTCTTAGGAGCCTGGAAGGTTAGAGAGAGAATCACAGCACAAGAGGGAGTGGGCGATAGAAGGAGTGTTTGACTTGGCCTTAGAGAGAGTGGACTTAAGTCGTGGCTGATGACATGTGCGAATTCAGGAAGACACTTGGCCATCTTGTCAAAATGATGTTTTATCAGAAAACTGCCATGAGAAAGGGATTTTTTTTGTTATTCAAATTTATGATGTTATCTTTAGAAAAACGTTCGTATGGCTGCACTTACACCCACTTTATTGCTGCCATCTGCCTCCCTGGAGGCCAGCATTTGCCAGTGGAGAAGGCTGCTCGTCCACTGAGCTGTCTTGCTGGCCATGTGGCCTTGGCACTTGAGGTCTTCTCTCGCAGCTCCCTGTCTGCTGTGGTCCAGCCCTGTGGCGTCAGATTGGCCTTCCCCCTGGCTGAGAAGAAGTCTGCTTGGCTAGGTGCAGTGCTCACACCAGTAATGCCAGCTCTTTGGGAGGCCAAAGCAGGAAGAATGCTTGAGCCCAGGAGTCGGAGACTGTGATGAACTGTGATGGTGCCCTCCAGCATGGGCAACTGAGTAAGATCCCAACTCAAAAATAAAACCAAATCGGGAGTAGTACAAACATACTGTTTTATTGAAAATATGTATCTTTAGAAGAATGTTGATGTAGTCATTTTTTTCAGAATTTTGTCTTCCTTTTCTGAAGTTGATGGAACCATATTTCACATGGGTTCCTGTGTCTGGGCTCTGGTCACTCTGACAGTCTGACCTGGGTCTGGTTGTTTATGTCTGTAGCCTTCAGCTCTGTCTTCATGGAGGGGCTGCCCCTGGCTCAGGTGCTCCCCAACTCAGCTGCCCCAAGGCTGGGAACCCACTTGCTGAGCACCTAGGGGAAGGCCTGGAAGCTTTCCTGGTGTCTCTTCCTCCTCCTTGTTCCAGACGTGGGGCAGGGCCACAGGACATGTGAATCAGTGGAAGCTCTGAGGGCATGTTTATTTCCTGTTGTCCTTGTATCATCAGGGCTCCCGAGATGGCTACTGATAGGCTCCATGGCTCGTTTGCTGAAGGGAGGCAGCAGATGCAGGACCTCCAAGATTGCACCCATAAAATAATTTAATCAAGCAAGTCAAGTTAGAGCAGATAGACTTGGAAATGACATGGGTGGCCTTGATCTGCTGACCTCCAGAAGGTGACTTCACACCAGCAGTAGATAAAGCTGCCGCCCCGCCAGGAGCTTGGGTGTGCGGGCAGGAGTAAGGATGACCTCACCTCGACAGCGTAACAGGAGCCCTGCTCTTGGCCCACAGCCGTCCATCTCTGTCCTTACTCCAGTGGAAGCAGTGCCAGGCGGAATGTTACCTTCTGCTGACAGTTCATTTCTTTACACCCTGTTTTAGGAAAGGGATTAATGCTAAGTTATGGGCACCTGCAGCTTTGTATGGGCTGTTTTAATGCTAATGTTTCAAGAAGAGGCACCAGGCCCCACACGCTGCCACGCATAGCCCTGACTGCCCCTGTTCAGGGAGCCAGTGGCCAACAGCATGGTCCTGCCCTGAGGGGTATGCTCTCCAGCAGGAGGAACACATAGGGACAGAGCTGAGGTGTGTGTCAGACCTGGCTCCAACCACGCTGCTGTGGGTCCTGGAAAGAACTGGCAGTGCTGCTGCTGAGGGGGACAGGGTGTGGCCCTTGGGGGCAGTGGCAGCACTGTTGGCTTTGAAATATGAGACAAAGAACAGTGACTCACTTTTCCATCCAGCTTACCGTTTCACTCCAGTCTAGGCAGCAGGGGACGGTTCATAGCTTAATGTAGTATTTCCTTAAAGAAACATCCAGAAACAGACTGGCCAGGCAGTGTGCCTCTGACTTAGAGCCTCTCGTCTGGCTGACTGGAACAGAAGGCTACAGCACACTTAAAACCAATTTAGGGCCAGGTGTGGGGCTCACATCTATAATCCCAGCACTTTGGGAGGCTGAAGTGGGAGGATCACTTGAGGTCAGGAGTTCAAGACCAGCCTGGGAAATAAGGTGAGATCTCATCTCTACAAAAATAAAAATAATTAGCCAGGTGTGGTGGTACACACTTGTAGTCCCAGCTACTTAGGAGGCTGAAACAGGTGGGTTGCCTGAACCCAGGAGTTCAAGGCTGTGGTGAGCTATGATTGTGCCTCTGTACTCCAACCTGAACAACAAAGTGAGATCCCATCCCTTAAATAAATAAATAGCCGAGTTAGGAAAGTCTGGATACCAGGAAAGAGCAGTTGTTTATTTTAATTTTTGTGAATTTCCTGTCAGTCTTTGCCCTTAATTTCATAGCATTCAAGGACTTTCTGTCTGTCTGTTTCCAGGGCCATGCCATCTTCATGTGTATAGCCTCTGTGGTGTCACGCACCTACGGTTGTGTCTAACCCATTGTTCTAATGCTGCCAGGCAGCTTCCAGCAGGTTGCCTCTTCCCTTGCTCTTTCCCAAGGGCAAATGCCTGGAATAGGGATGTTTTCACCCTTTTCTTTGCTACATATTGTAAGCAAAGAAAGTTCTTGCTTCAAGTTGCACCAGCATCTTCCATCTTCCTTAGCATGGAACAGCAGGGTTGCTTTGCAGTCTTGTCAGGGCCTCTGCTGTAGGAAAGTTGCTTTGCTAGGTGAAGATGGTGATGTACAAATTTAGTTTGCATCTTTTTGATGACCAGTGAGGTTTTTTCCATATATTTGCTTTTTTTCTTTTTAAAAAATGGTAGCATTATTGACATATAATGTACATATCTACAATTCACCCATTTAAATTGTACAGTTCAATGGGGGTTTTTCTTTTGTTGTTGTTTGTGTTAAGTTGGAGTCTCACTCTGTTGCCCAGGCTGAAGTACAGTGGCACAATCATGGCCACCACGGCCTTGGCCTCCTGGGCTCAGGCCATCCTTCCGCCTCAGCCATCCAAGTAGCTGGGAATGCAGACGTGTACCACCACGCCCAGCTAATTTTTTGATTTATTGTAGAGATGAGGTTGCACCAAGTTGTCCAGGCTGGTCTTGAGCCCCTGGGCTCAGGCATTTCTCTCACCTTGGCCTCCCAAAGTGCTGGGATGACAGGCATAAATTCAGTGGTTTTAATATATATTGCAGCATGTGTAGCCATCACCAACATTAGGTCCAGGCATTCCCATCATCTCCCCAGGAGCCCTGAGCCCGTGGCAGCCCCTCTCCCCTGCCAGCCAGTCGCTGCCCTCGGTTGCTCTGATCTGCACCTGTCTCTGTGGATGTATGTGTTCTAAACATTTTACATAAGAAATGCCTATAGTCTGTGACAGGTGATGTCTGGCTCCCTCATGTGCACACCCTCAGGGTGCGTCCACATTGCAGCAGGGATCAGCACCTCCCTCCTTCTTGCTAAGTGACATGCCGTGGTGTGAATGTACCACACTGTACTTACCCACTCACCAATTGCTAGACATTGGGGTTGGCTTCACGTTTTGGCTGTATGAATAACACTGCTATAAATATTTGTATACAAGTTCTTATGTGAACGAATGTTTTTAGTTCTCTGAAGTATCCTCCTAGGAGTGGAATTTCTTGGTCATACATTAGTTTTTGTCTGCTTATACTTTGTGTTTGATTTTTGGAAGTGGTGCTTTTCTTACAGCTCAGATAAACACTAGATCACCAATATGTCAACACCTTTATCTTATTTGCTCTGAATTTTTTTCTCAACCAGTAATTTTCCATTTTTAAGTTGCTCATACATTTTGAATCTGTATATAGTTGAATCTGATTATATTTTCATTACATTTTGTGTTACTGTTTTTAAAACTTGAATGTTAATGTTAGAACAAACCCCTCTAGGACTTGAAAATTTTTAAAACTTTTAACATATTAAAAAAACTTTAAATTCCCAAATCTGTTTGGATTTATTTTGGTATATCACTTTAGATATGACTCTACATTAATTTTTTTCCATGTTTCAGT